ATCAATTGGAAAATTTCTGGGCCCCATACCTGAAGTTTCTGATTTTTGGGGTCTTTGTGACCCAAGAATTTGTATTCATAACAAGTTTCCAAGTGATGATGATACTGGGGACTAAACTTTGATAATTACTGCAACCGAGTAAAGCCCGGGTCAGGTGTCTATGAATGTGGTTAGCGGTTGAGAGCAATGAAGAGGGAGAGATACCAACCTTAAACAGTTGATTGAGAATGTGGCCCTGACACTGGGACACTCCATCTAATGGACACATACTCCTCCCTGCCCTCGATACTAGCTCTACTTTATATATATATTTTATTGATTTTTACAGAGAGGAAGGGAGAGAGATAGAGAGCCAGAAATGTCGATGAGAGAGAAACATCGACCAGCCGCCTCCTGCACATCCCCCATCAGGGATGTGCCCGCAGCCAATCACATGCCCTTGACCGGAATTGAACCCGGGACCCTTCAGTCCACAGACCGACGCTCTATCCACTGAGCCAAACCGGTTTCAGCTATACTAGCTCTATTTGATTCTTTGTTCTATGGAATACACTTTACCTTAATGTTTGAATCAGAAATAGCTAAAGCCATCTTTAAGCTAAAACCAGTAACTTCAGAGGGAAAAAGAAGATTTAACTGCCTTCTACCCCAAGTTTTCACTATGTGTTGAGGAATGAAGAAAGGAAATGGAGCCCTGCCTATGTGACTCAGTGGTTGAGCCAGGAACCAAGAGGTCGCAGTTGGATTCCCAGTCACACAGCACATACGTACCAGGGTTGCAGGCTGGTTTCCCAGCAAGGGGGTTTGCAGGAGGTGGCCAATTGATGTTGTTTCTCTCTCATCGATGTTTTTATCTCTCTATCCCTCTCCCTTCCTTTCACTAAAAAATCAGTTAAAATCACCAAATGTATATTAAAAATTAAAAAAGAAAGGAAATGGAAAAGAAAACACTAGGGAGGTCATTTATAGATTACTTGAATAAGGCACATTTTTCAGGCTAATGCTCTTTCTCACAATAAACATGTTTTGTGACTTTATGCATATCTCTGAAATACATTTTACAAGCTTTAGGAGTTAACCTTTTCTGTTTACATTAAAAGTCAGGAAAATAAAGGAAAAAAACTTGTAACTTATATTAAAAAGCAGAGCATGGTAAAATGTAATCTTACTAGAGAGCTCTGCCTTAGCCTAATCAGTCACCTAAGAAGGTTCATTTTATATCACTGCACTTATAGGTCCAAGGAGTTTGTTGCCTTTCTGTACAAAACCCTCTGTTTGATGTTCCTTTTTAATTAAAAAAGGATGAGAAGATACTTAATTGATTTTTAAACCACATTTCTCCTCTCTGGAGACATAATTTCTGATTTCACAGCCAGGAGTTTTCACTAGCTCCCCCATGTGGTCTTGAAGCCGTCACGTGAAGAGGATTTCCCAACCACTGTCTGATTTCTCAGAGTTCTTATGTCTAATTTATAATAATAAAACCCTAATATGCTAATTAGACTAGACGACCTTCTGGACAAAGCCTGGGCTGCGAGGGAGGCAGGTGCTGGCAGCATGGGGGGAAGAAGACCTACGAATTTCATGCATCAGGCCTCTAGTATTAAATATTAGCTGCTTTCTGTCTACTCTGGAGGCATAGGTACCTAGTGAAATAGACTCTAGGTAGAAAAATATAGACCCAGAATATTAGAATTGGTAGAGACCTTGGAGTTTTCTACCCTTCTGACCACTCATCCCCTCAAGACATTTTATGAATAATCAAACCACCCCAGAAATAGGAAAGATTTCAGTACCTTAAGGATGTAAGCAGCCTTAATTAAAGGTACCGAATCTCACTTCCCCTGAGTCAGATCCAGGGGCTAGAATTCAACCCTCTGCCTCCTGGTACAGTGCTCCTCAGTCTCGTCCTGAGACCGTACATTGGTTTTGCTGCTCAAAGCATCTTCATTTGCCTTCTGGCACTAGGAAGGAAGGAGAGAGTAGGAGAGCAGCACTCCCAGTTCCTTCCTAGATTAACGGCATCAGCATCTTCTGGGAATGTGCTAGTAATGCAAAATCTTGAGTTCCAACCCTGACTTAATAGATAAGAAAGCCTGGGGAGGGACCTAGAAAACTCCTTTAGTAAGTGCTCCAGCTGATTCTGATAGATACTAGAAGTTGATGATGGATTATAGCAGAAAATTCTGTATCAGAAAGACCTTTTGTTTACCTGGTGCTTCCATCCTAGAGAGAAATTCCAAGGCTGTGAGATAGAAGAATGAGCTCTGGGGTCAGATTTAGCCCTTCCACAGCTGAGTGGTGATGTCTCTTATCTCTAAGCCTGTGTTCTCATCCATAAAATGGGAAAATAACCCCTTCTACCTGTCCGAGGGGGTTGTGGTGAAGATTAAATGTGAGGCTGGCTGGTAAACTGCTTTCTAAAAAAACAGTGTGCTGTGATTTTGTGAGGGATTATTAAAGTTTGTATCTAGATTGCTACTTTTAGCTCTGAAGAAAAACCTCTCATACTGCCTAGCTCTACATGGAGAGGAGCCATCCCACCAACCAAGGTGAACTCTTAAGAGATGATGCTTGTTGGAAACTTCTGCCCTGAGTCTTGGATTCTGAGTGGTTGGAATGGAGCTCAGCACCTCCTGCTCAGGAGTAGCCCACTGAAATTCATCATACGCAGTAAGTTTGCTATCCCCTTATTAAATTGCTAAGGAAGAGCTTGTTTATTTTTAACTGGGAGTCTTTTTCATTACCTCACAAACTACAAAATACAGTAGACCGTTAGAATGATCCCCTCCCTTAAAGATTCAAGGCGCTGTAAGTTAAAAGTAACAGGAAATCCTGCCTTGGAAATAAGTGAGATGTATTGAAATTTCTATTCCTTTGCTTTTGCACTTAACTTTCTTGAACCACTGAATTTTAGAATTAGAAGGAATCTGAATAATCATCAATTCTATTTTCTTAACTCCTTATAGAACTCTTACTTATGGTATTCCCAACATTTTGTCAATTGCTCCCCTTTTGCACTTTTCTGATAACCATGCAGAATAACTGTTGCTCTTTGAATGCTCTTCCCTCTGTTGAACTGAAATCTATCTTCCTATAGCTTCCCATCCCCTTTTGCTCTAGCTTTACATTCCAGGTCAAAATGGAATTGATATAATATGATAATAATAATAATAATAGCTATCATTAAAATTATAAATACATCTTTCAGTTTCTGTAAACAATTGAATTTCTGGAGAAACAAATTATTATAAAGTCCTGAATACCTTAAATTCAGTCTTGATTATAGTTAGAGAACAAATAGCTTTAATAGCAGGACATTTTAAAGGACACAAGTGTTTTTAAGAGGGTGGAGCACTGAATTAAACATTAACTTTTGTTTACATAGATAAGAGAAAACAATAATATATAATTATATACAATTTATCATTGAATTTAAGTTAAAGTTATATTTACTCTGAATCTTTCCTCATAAAGTTGAGTTTCTATATTTATCAAAAGAACCAGAGTTTCCCAATATTTAAATGTTTATTTTAGTAGTTCCAAAGAATCTCAATTTGTAATCTTGGAAATATGAATTGTTATAGGGTACTACATTTGTTAAGAGTGTTTGTTGTAGAAAACAATGTTCACTTAAAGTTATAAGTTCTGTTTGCCAAAGGAGGTTATTTGTGTTTTTTTTAATCCTCACCTGAGGATATTTTTTTCCCATTGATTTTTAGAGAGAGTGGAAGGGAGAGGGACACCAATCAGTATAGTCAATATGGTTTTGGATTCTTCTCCTCCACCCTTCCAACCTGACACACACCCCATTTTGCTGCAGGCTCAGAGTTAGAGTTTTGTCAGGTGAGTACAAGGAAAGGAGAGCAGAACTGGAGAAATGAAGGTTACTATCTGGGAATGTCTGTGATGATGGATAGTAAAATCTAGGCTGTTGGAGAAAGGAAGTGAGGACACAGGGTAGTGAGAGGAATAGTTAAAAGGTAGTAGGATCCATGGGTTTCGAGTGTTGGTGGAGTTGAGGAATTTTTGGAGTTGGGTATTAGAGGAAGAGAGCGAGAAAGGAAGGAGTTTTCAGTGGGAGAGTTGGATGATTCAAATCAAGATTTCAGAGGGGTTACAAATACTGGTGATGAAAAGATCTAAGGTATGAGTGTGGAAATGAGAGGCTGAGGCAAGCGTGATCACTAAAGGAGAGGAATGCGAGAGGCCAGAACACTGGAAGAATCATCTAAAAGAATTGAAACCTCTGCCCTGACTGGTTTGGCTCAGTGGATAGAGCTTTGGCCTGCAGATTGAAGGGTCTCAGGTTCGAGTCCCATCAAGGGCACGTACCTTGGTTACGAGCATATTCCCACTAAGCAGCTGGTCCGATGTGTCTCTCTCATCGATGTTTCTAACTTCCTCTGTGTAAAACATCAATAAAATATATTTTTTTAAAAAGAAAGAAAAATAAATAAAAGAATTGAAATCCCTAAGAATGAGGACAACAGTCATTAATGACAGTGAACCAGAAGCACAGGAGTCTGTGACTGAAACGAATGAATGCCTGGGGGGTCTCCATAATGACGTAATATGTAAAGCTCTTTATTTTTCACGGGAGAATGGGACTGGAGGGGGTGTGGTTGCTTTAAGCCTTAAAGGGGCCTGGCGGGGAGAGAAGTCCGAGGTGGGATGCCTGATCCAGACTCCAAGGACGCGTCTGCGCAGTGAGGCTGGAGGCGGGGCCACGCTTGGGCTCGTGCGCGGGGGCGGGGCCTCGCGGGGGCGGAGTCTGCGCCCTGGGTCCGCCGCCGCCGCCGCCGCCGCCGTCGCCACCGCCGCCGCCGCCGCCGCGGTGCAGCACCTCCAGCTTCAGAGCGAAGGAGGCCGCGGCCTGGGCCGAGCCTGGGGCCGCCGCTAGCGCCGCTAGCCGGAGCCTCCTGGAGCCCCCGCGCCGGCTCCACCTGGGGGCGGGCTCAGGCCCGGCCCGCCGCCGCCGAGCCCCGGACCGAGGCCGCATGCCCGAGGACCAGGCTGGCACAGCCATGGTGAGGGAGCGAGGCCTGCCCGAACCGCAGCCGCCCGCCGCCCGCCGCCCGCCCCGGCTCCCGCAGGCCGGCCCGGCCCTCGCCCCGGCGCCCCGCTCCCGCCCTCCGCGCCCCGGCTTGGCCTCAGCTCCTCGTTACCGCCCCCTCGGCGGCCCGCTCCTCCGGCCCGGGGCTCCCGGCCACCTGCCGGCCGGCATCCCCTTTCTCTCTCCTTCCTCCCGGCGACACCGGTGTCTGTGTGTCTGTGTTTCATCGCCCTCCGTGACAGCCGCTTTCGCGGTCCCCTTTGCCGCCTCCTCCTCCTCGTCCTTTAGCCCGACCTTCCTTTCCTTCTCTTACCCGTAATTATCTCTCTTTGGGGAATCTCCACTACTTACCTCTTTTCCTCCCCGTTTTCCGTTCCTGCTCGTTTTGCTCTCGCCTCTCACCCCCTTTTTTCACCATTTTTTATCCCCGCCGCCCCCTCCTTTCCATATCATCTCTCTTCCCCGCGTCCTCCACCATCCACATCCTCTCTCCCCTTTATCCCCTCTCCCCCGCCTCTCGCAGCTGTCCCCCGTTTCCTTCTCCGGGTTTCAGGGGTCTGAGCTGGAACAATGTGAAGGCAGTTGCTTCGCTGGAGAGGTAGGGCGGGCAGGTGGGGATTTTGCAGCGGGGGAGGGCGATGCTGGAGGTATTGGAGAGGGCCTCAAAGCCTTCTTACCTTAGTGTCATTGCAAACCCCTAAGGACAGTGTGTTTGGAATGATGGTGTGAGGCCAGCGTGCATTCTGTAGGACCTTATGAGATTATGTAGCCTTTTGACAGAAATAACTTAAAAAAAATGTTTTGGAATGCAATTTTTATTTTGAGGGCTTTTGATTCACGTGAAGGTACAGTTTGGAAAATTTCCAAACATTTACAGATTTGACTGTTACTCAGAACCAGCGGTTTGTTTTCCCTTGGAGACAGAGACCAGGGCTTCTACAGACTGGAAATCAGGTTGGTTGGCAGTCAGGTTGTGACAGTTCTCCTGAATGCCTCCCACTGCCTTCGTTCGTTTTGCCTTCTCTGAATTTAGTTGAGAGACTCTCGTCTCTTTGCAGTTTTTCTCCTTCCTGTTTCAAAATAGGTTGAGGTTTCAGTTGGGTTTTTTCATTGAGTTGGGTCACTCATTGTTTGCAGTACCATGCATTCGTGAACAAATATTTCTCCATCCATGCAGTCATCTATATTTTGGGTTTTGGGAGGAATAGGACAACTAGTCAAATCTAAGTCCTGGTAATCATGTTCTCCTAGAAGATAGTTAATTTCCTTTCCTCCCCCTCCCCCCCCCCCCCCCATCTGTTTTTTAGGAAAGTGGTTTATAAATGAAATAATTTAATTTGTGAGCTTTTCTAACTCACTGACTCTGCATTTTTGGGTTGTCATTCTCCTGTGTCTGCCTCCACAGCAGCCTTCACATTCACAACCGATCACACTGTCATTGTGTTAACCTGTTTCTCCCCCTGAGATGTGTGATTGTAGACGGCAATTGTGCTTTACTTCTTTCTGTAATTCCCAGGGCCCACTTAAATATAATAAGGATATGTTCTGAGAAATGCATTGTTAGGTGATTTTGTCGTTTGATCGTCATAGAGTGCGCTTATACACACCTAGGCTACATGATATCTATGCCATTGTTGTATGTGCAATACATCATTGATCCAAATGTAGTTTGTTATGGAGTGCAGGACTGTAGTAGAGATGTCTAAGACAGGGGCCATCAAACCTTACCAGGTATCAAAATTACCTGGAGAGCTTGCATGCTGCCATCTCCAGAGTTTGATTTATTAAGGGTGGAATAGAGCCCGAGAATGTGCATTCCTAACAAGTAGCCCATGTCGTGCTGATGTTCCTGGTCTGTGAACCATTAGTCCAAGATATACTCCTAACAAGTAACCCCGCAAATTGCTGTTTTTCTCTCCCTCTCTCTCTTAAAAAATAAAAAATAAAAAAATAAAAATCAAATAAAAGCCTTAAATAAATCAGGGTAAAGTATGAAGTGATGTATGTGTGTATGTGGCAAATATTTTAGTTAGTATGGTTAGGCAGCAACATTAATAGCTAATATTTATTGAGCATGACTGTATAGGCCCTGTTTTCAGTGACTTACATATTTTATTTCATTTAATCCTCATAGCAGCCCAGTGAGATAAGTAGTAGGTCTATGAACGTAGAGACCATGTTTATTTGGCCCATCATTGAATCTTTAGAATACACATAGTGCCTCATGCGAAAGTGCTCAATAAATATTTCTTGAGTGAATGATCAGGAATGATCAGAAAGAGAGGAAGGCTTGGTTGAGAAGGGGGCATTTGAACTTGGGTCTTAATAGGTGGGGCTTTATTGGATAAGAATTTGGGAAGGAAAGTCATTCCTGGAAAAGGTGCCAGGTTGAATGTCGAAGCTGAGACAGAGTAGGCATGATGTATTCTGGGAAATGTGTGACTCTACATTGAGGGTGTAGTAGGAGATGAGACTAGGTGAGCCAATGGTCAGATCATGGAGGACCTTGAATCATAGGTTCAGGAGTTTTGACCTCATTATAAGATCAAGCTACCTTGAAAGTTCTTTTATGTGTGAAGGAATATAATAATTAAGAGATTTGAAGGGGTGATCACTATAAATCAATATGAAACATGGTTTGGAGTGGGAAGAGCTATTGTACTTCTCTGGGTGAAAAATAAGTATGTGAGCTTTCTCCCTAGCCTTTTTATGGTGGTGGTGATTTAAATTGGAGGGAGGAGAATATAGGGAAATGAAATAAGATCTGCCACACCACTTTTAGTGAATTTTCCATAGAGACATTACTATGGAATTGTACAGGAAACACAAAATCAGTAACAGTTTTGCAATTCTGCTCACTCAATTTTCATATGTGTGCAGCCTTTAGGAATTTATGAGAATATTAAAACAAAGTAAATTTACTATACCAAAGTCTTTTATTTACAAACAGTAGGTCATGTAGAGAAATCAGTACTCAATTTTAAAAAATTATTCTTAGAGAGAAAGGAAGAGAGAGGGAGAGGAAGAGAAAGAGAGACACATTGATGTGAGAGCAGAACATTGGCTGCCTCCTGCATGTCTCCTACTGGGGATCAAGCCCTCAGGCATGTGCCCTGACCAGGAATTGAACCAGCAATTCTGTGCCCAGGATGACACCCAATTAACTGAGCCACACCAGCCAGGGGCAAACTTATTTAACTTTAAAAATATTTTTGTGTGGTATGAGAAAAGAATGATTTTAAGTAAAATATATTTTATTTTAAATTACATGTATAATTTATTTAATAACACATTGAGCAAAATACATTAAAACAAATTTCCTCTTCCTATTTAACAAATGACACATTAATATGAGATAAATCATTGTCGTATTTTAAAATGAATATATATTACAATGTAGAATGAACTTAATTATGTTTATGGCATCAAAATAGATAATAACTTTCTAACATTAAATTTGGAATTATTGTATTTTTGTACTTAACAACAATAGGTTTTTATAATTGTTCTGTTTTGTTTCTAAATGATAGACAAAAGGGAATGTTTCCAGGCTGCAACTTGAAATAAATAAAACATTGGAAGCATGGATAGTTTATTAATAAATGGAGATCCTAAATGGATATAACTATCACCACATTTTTAAAATTTTATTTATTTATTTATTTAAAAAATATATTTTATTGATTTTTTACAGAGAGGAAGGGAGAGAGATAGAGAGCTAGAAACATCGATGAGAGAGAAACATCGACCAGCTGCCTCTTGCACACCCCCTACCGGGTATGTGCCTGCAACCAATGTACATGCCCTTGACCGGAATCGAACCCGGGACCCCCCAATCCGCAGACGGATCCTCTACCACTGAGTCAAACCAGTTTCGGCCAACACATTTTTTTTAATGCTTAAAAAATACTAAGCTGTCTTGCCCTGGCCAGTGTTGCTCAGTCGGTTGGCCTTTGTCCTGTGGACCAAAAGGTTGCTGGTTCGATTCCTAGTCAGTACATGCCGAGTTTTGGGCTATATCCCTGGTAAGGGGCATGCAGGAGGCAGCTGATTGATCTGTTCTCATATTGATGTTTCTCTCTCTCCCCTCTCCCTTTCTCTTTCTTTAAAAATCAATTAAAAAAATAAACACTGAGCTATCTTAATGTAGTACCATTTAAGAATCCTGATTAGATAAATGCTTTCATTTACTTGTTTCATCATCAGTGTAGCTAATGTTTCTTGTCTTTAACCAATAGTTCATTATAAGAATAAAAATAATTTTAATGTTCAGTGTTCAGATGAAGTTGTAACAGTTGAACCACTATAATATTATGAGCCAGTCTCCTAATTTTTATTAATTCACTTATGTGCAGCAGATAAAATCTTGGATACTCTCAAACTATTCTGTTTTTAAAGGAGAAAAAAATGTAATAATTATTTTATTAAATGGTTAAAATATACATGTTGAGGTAGACATCAGTATTGAATTTAATGATGTGAGCCATTGGGAAATGCTGGCTAGACCACCACTTTTTCATTGGTTCTAAAGCTAGCCCTTAAAAACACACTTAACCAATAAGTGGCAGAAATAGTCATTATTTATAGTGGAGCAAAAGACATTTCTAATATGAATAGTAATTAGAATAGAAAAAGAATGTTAAAACAGTGTTCTTGAATACTGGGACATGTATTTAGAGGAGCATGAGCTCATACAGCAGCTTTTATTTAATGAGCACACAATGTGTCAGATGGTATACTAATTAATCTTCACAGTCCCAGAAGGTAGACAATTTTTTTTTTCATTGCACACATAAGAATACTGAGGCTTTGCCGGGACTGGTTTGGCTCAGTGGATAGAGCGTCGGCCTGCAGACTGAAGGATCCCGGGTTGGATTCCGGTCAAGGGCATGTACCTTGGTTGCGGGCACATCCCCAGTGGGGGGGAGAGGGGGGTGCAAGAGGCAGCTGGTTGATGTTTCTCTCTCATCGGAC